TAGGGAAACCCCTGTGCCCACCTCACCCCCCCCGGCGCCGGCGGCACAGGGAAGCCTCCGCACTTCTCCTCTAGGGCCAACGCCCCCTCTCCCAGCACGCAACAGAGCTGTGGGAGGGGGAGCAGCCTGTGCACTTCCGGAACCCCCGGAAGTGACGCGGGCTTCAGAGAGGACTTCCGTCCACCCCACGGGAAGCCGCATTGTTGCTCAAGGTAGGTAGTGGGGTTTCTTGGAGGAGGGAGGAAATGGGGGGCCCAGAATGCCTCATGATCGACTGGTCAAGGCCTCGGGATCGACCAGTCAATCACGATTGACTGGTTGGTGACTACGGACTTAGAAGGGACACAGAGAATCACAGGGTTGCCTGGGCCCTCGGGAGTTATCGAAGCCCAATCTCCCCTACCCTCCCCCCACACACACTAGGAGCAACCCCAACTTACCCCATCCCCCTGGCAGGTCTTTGTGAAGGCAGGACCAAAAAAGCCTCCCAGAGTGGAGGCTTCCACCACCCCACCACCCCTTCCCTAGGGAACCCCATTCCAGCAGTTCACCCCCCTCCTGGGACAATAGCATGAGAGCACTATACCTGCATGACCATGATTCCCATGCCAAACTGATTCCCAATGGATTGGTAGCTGTCTGGTGTGGCGGGCTTCCAGAGGGTGATGGTGATCCACTTCTGGAGGGGGATGGTGGGTTGCATGTGGGTGTCCCATTGCCGGAGGGCAGGGGCGAGCCACTCACACAGCTCCATGAAGGTGTCCTTCCACATGCAGAAATTCTGGAGACACTGCTGCTCGTCCCACTGCTCCATGATGATCTGATCCCACCAATCAGAACTGGTGTCCAATTGCCAGAAGCAGGGGTGCACAGTGTGCAGGGGAGGGTGGGTGGGGTCGAGCTGCATGATCAGTGCCTGGAGAGAGGTGAGGAGGTGTCCTGCAAAGAGTTCGGGGTCCTGTTCCTGCAGGACTACGAGAGCAGCCCACAGAAACTGCACCAGTAGGTGCAGCATGCAACATAAGAGCTGTCGCCTGCTTGGAGATAGGTTTGGCTTCATGGCAGGAGTGCTGTGATGTCCACAAGGGCAACCAGAGCAGGCAGAGAAAAGGCTTTGCTGTCCCTCAATGAGGTAGACAAAGGAGAAGAGCCTGAGACACAACTGTACAAGGGCATCCCTTTAAGCATGAGCCTCAGATAGCCTTAGGTAGCAGCTACGGGAAGTGAGTGCTGTCCTGATGCCCTGCCTGAAGTGCTTCCGGGTGGCCTTAAATACGATTCAGCATCCATGAGTGTGGACGCTCTATTTCAAAATAGCTCAGTCCTATTTCGATGGGCATTAGCTGTGTAGACGCGCTATTTCAAGATAAGCTATTTGGAGTTTAGACGTGCCCATACTGAATATTGATGGTAGATCCTGTGTGGTGAAAGTGCTAATTTACATCAGTCAAGAATCTTTACTGAAATGTTCAAATGTGTCATATAGGAGATACAGACAGAAATCTCAGCTAATATTGTCCAAATGTACTTTATATTCAATGAATTACAATTTTCATGCTAAGGAATTATTCCGTTTACAGGTGAGAAGTGAGAAAGTCATGAAGTATGGGAACGTGCATATTAAAAGCAAAACATTAAGATTTCTGAAGTTTACTGACTGCATGGTTTATTATCAGACAGTTATTAAACAAATTTTGAGCTGTACCTTGACATGATTAGTTATTGGAGTAACTTGAACAACAGTGCATAGTTCTGCAGCACCTTAGAGGCTAACAAAACATATAGATGGAAGTTTCATCTGAAGACGTGGGCTGTGCCCACAAAACCTCATGATACCATCTACATTTTTTTGTTAATCTTTAAGGTACTGCAGGCCTATTCGCTGTTTTTTAAATTTTTTCCAGTTACAGACTAACATGGCAACCCCTCTGAAACTACCTTATTGGAGTGTCACCTGAGGAATAATCCAATAAGAAAACCATCTCAGACCCCCAGCGCAGCACCCCAGTGCCTTATGGGTGCACAACTATCAAGAGCTAGATGTCATACCTAAACCAAGCAATTTTTACATACAATACTTCATCGTCTATGGAGTGCATTAAAGTGATGTCTGGTTTGAGATTTGGACTCCTTTAGCCTGACTCAGGTATCAGATGATGCCTGGGCTTCAAAGCAAGATTCTCCATTTTCAGTTATTCAACAAATACCAACACAGAGATATATGATAAGTAAATTATAAAGCTATTGAGCCCATCCTAAGACATACCACTCCCCTGACGAGTTCAACCAAGAATTTTCAGACATTTCTTCTACAAAATAAATGGTCTGCAGCCTCAGAGTGTGAAACAAGAACAGACTAGAGGGCCCTGAGGTGAACGCTGTGTGGGGGACCAAGTGCCTCCATGTCACATGTGCCTAAGTTCAGTATGTGCATGTGTCAGCCAGAGCTCTTAAAAGGAACATCTCTGCCCTCACCTATGAACGCAGTTGAAACACTATTGCATGTATCCTCTGCCCTTTGATAGACACCGTCAAGACATTCAATTTCCATTCGGTTAAAACAGACAAGTGCATATATTCTTCTGTCATGTGACCAGGCCCACCAATAGAGGGCAGGGGAAAGAGGGGGTAAAAGGGGCAGCAGGCCTGGAACCTGGCAATTCAAAGGGCCTGGGCCTCCTGGCTACACAGCTGGAGCCTTTGTCTCTTTAAATTGCCACTTGAATGCCATGCTATGCGCTCTGTGAGGCTCTGAGGGATGGGGGGGGGGGGGGGTGCTGAGGGCATGCTGTCTTGCCCTGGTCTTTCGGCTTGAATCCCTGCCTTTCTGGGAGCATGGAGCTGGGCCCTCCCCACCTCGTCTAGGAGCCCATGGAGACTATCGGCTCCCCTGCAACTGTTATAATTACAACCAGCTATTGAAGCCAGGGAGAATTTTGCCCGAATAAAGAT